AAAGTGGACAAGTTTGGATTCCACAAACAAAACTTTACAGAATCAGTAACAAAGTACTCTTGATTTGTTACTCTTTAAGTTCTTGTTTCAGTCATAACCACATCTTACATATATGTCTGAAACGACTTGAAACCGGACTGGCAAGTTCTAATGGAGTCCTTCAGCTACGAGGTTACATACCAAAATGGTTTTATCCAAGGATCGTTTTTTTATTAAGCTGTTGCGTCAGGCGCTGAAAATTTGATTACTCAGTGTACACGTATGATATGCTCGCAGAAATGTTGATACTTTAAAGATACTCAAGGTTAAAACACCATCTTATTATCTTTCTCGCAGGATGTATTTTTTACAAATTTTGTAGTTACAGCTAAATAACCATATATTTAATCAATAGTATAGATTGTATATAAATATGTTATTTTTTCTTTTTTCTCTCATTTTCTTGTTTAGCGTAAAGTTGTACAATCACATTGTTCTCAATACAGGGGTCGAACCTAGACTTTTGGTGTTATAATCCCACAATCTTACCGCTGAGCCATCGGGAGCATTTGAATGAGGTACTAAAGCCTGAAAAGACACGATTAATATATTCATACTAGTGAAGATGTTTTAATTAATTCATAACTAAATAGATAGATAGAATAGAATACGTTTCATAGTAATAAAGGTACATATCAGAAAATATAAAATGGACAATTTTTTTGTATGAGTGATTTGTTTTAATTGTTGTGAAACAGTATTGTTCATAGTTTTCAAAAGCAGTTCACTCATCATGTTACCTAAAATAACATCCTATAACACAGACTAGCGTGTCATATTACACCTGAGACGTATTGACATTACCCTGTTCTCTCTACATAAACAACATTCACATTATCCTGTTTTCTTTACGTGAACAACACTCGTATTATCCCGTTCTCTTCAGATAAACAACGTTTTCATTACCCTGTTCTCTTAACATATACAACATTCACATTATCCTGTTTTCTTTTCGTGAACAACACTCGTATTATCCCGTTCTCTTCAGATAAACAACGTTTTCATTACCTTGTTCTCTTAACATATACAACATTCACATTATCCTGTTCTCTTTACGTGAACAACACTCGTATTATTCCGTTCTCTTCAGATAAACAACGTTTTCATTACCTTGTTCTCTTAACATATACAACATTCAAATTACTCTGTTTTCTTTACATAAACAAAATTTGCATTACCCTGTTGTACTTACATAAACAACATTCACATTATCCTGATATCTTCACATAAACAACATTCACATTATCCTGATATCTTCACATAAACAACATTCACATTATCCTGTTCTCTTTACATAACCAATTTAATTGGTTGTCGAGCTGAAGTCGTACGAGTGCCCTGGTAATTGATTTAATCATCAGCAACTCAAGTGAAACTAATTACTTACTTGAAAACCTCAGTATCAACGTTACACTTAAGAACAGTCGAATGTAATAATCTAAGTAAGAGGTTTCGTTGTAAAATCCAAAATATTTCAGAAATTATACCTCTCGAAAAAATATATCAAACTTCTTCTAAAGTAATTTTTTTTCTATAACATTCAAGTAATGTATAAGACTTTATTAACTCACTTGCTCAGATTTTCTTTCATTTTTTTTGCAAACGAACGTGCGATCTTAACCGGATTATCTATTGGGTTCTGGCCCAGGGGTTATTATCGTAAGAGAACTAGATGATTTTATCATTTTATAATTATATATTTGATGAAATATGTAATCAAGTTCCCTATTCAAGAATGTTCTAGACTAATAGTTCTCTTTTCTGGCTGCTTAACATTTGTTTTACTGTTTTTAATGGTTTAATATGGGTGAGTTTTGCTATCAATTTGATCGGTTACAGAAGTCGTAATTTAAAGGGCAGTGCAACTTCATGTTTGGTTAATCCAATACTGCCTACGATGCACACACATAGATCAACCTACTCTAATTTCAGATCTAACCTACTTGGAGAGTAAAGTTGCACCAGAAAGTTGTATGAAGTTATTTTTGTGAAGCCGCCGTTTTAAGATGTATTTGTTAACCAGTTTACAAAATACGTTTGTTTTATATCCATATTATCAGATGAGAATATTAGTAAAATACGGACTATTAAACTTACTAAACTCATTACAAGAAATACACTAGATAGTCTTTTTTTTTCTGGCGCTATTCCAAGAATTTTTCTTTTCTACGGTGGCTTGAGGCTTCAACAAACTTCACTTTAAGGTCATTTCTGTTTCCGCTTGTCAACAACATATCGTGACTTTCCTTCTACTGAAGGTGTGTCCTCAGTACCATGCTGCCATTGGTTGTTTCTGAGGGGCTCGTCCCTGTCTCTAGGTATAAAATGAAGTTTGCTTCCATACACCAACTTCTTCGGTTCCTTTTGAAAGGTAAGATATATATATTCTTAATTGAATCTATTTTAGTAGAACAGTTTGAGTCACTAGATGGTGTTATATGTTTTAATAAGTATAGTTTAGTTTCAACTTAAGTTAAATGCATATTAATTTCACAATTTTGAAAACGTCTTAATGCTTTATATCTCGCATGTTTGATCAATATAACGTAATACGAAAAATTATTTTTGTTATGGAAATATGCAGGTTATTATTTCATGCTTAGACAAATACATTACGCACACAGAGAAAATATATTTACAGTCAGTCTTCTCATAAACAGAAACACGTATCTAATTTCAACTTCTAGTCTGTTTTAAAACAGAAACACATACATATAAGTTTAAGATCCAGTATAGTCTATTTTAAAATCAAATTACGTTTTAGTTCAAGATGCATTATAATTCTTTCAAAACAGAAACACTTATATAAGTTCAAGATCTTGAAGAATCTTGATTTTAAAACATAAACACACAAACACATGTATAAGTTTAAGATCTCTTTAAGTGTATCTAAGTTCCAAGATTTAATATAATTTCCGTTTAATTAAATACAAAGACAAACAGATCAGAGTTCTAAGATCGAGTACAGTTTTCTACTGAAAATAAATATTTTATTATCTCATAGAAATATTGCATGTAGGCAAACGTTGTACAAGTACCGCACCATATAAACTATAACGGATAGCATATTGCGTTTCTTGTGGCAAATAAATGAAGTTTGACCGCTATTCGTCTAAGGGTGATGCAATAGTGCCTTTAGTTTCTATAAGCTGTATGGTTAACGTTTTGTCATGTGTATGTTTGATGATAAGTAAATTAACGGGTTTGATGGTGATCATAATTATTTATTTATTTTTTAATTTCGCGCAAAGCTACACGAGGGCTATCTGCGCTAGCCGTCCCTAATTTAGCAGTGTAAGACCAGAGGGAAGGCAGCTAGTCATCACCACCCACCGCCAACTCTTGGGCTACTCTTTTACCAACGAATAGTGGGATTGACCGTCACATTATAACGCCCCCACGGCTGAAAGGGTGAACATGTTTGGTGTGACAGGGATTCGAACCCGCGACCCTCAGATTGCGAGTCGAGTGTCTTAACCACCTGGCCATGCCGGGCCCATTATTTTGTAGAAGAAACAGAAAAGTAACAACATGGAAAAACAGTTGTTATGGTTTATAAGGGAAAGTTTACAATGGGTCAAAGTAACAAGCAGCCCTAATGGGCCAAAGTAACCAGAAGTCCTAATCGGTTAAAATAACCTGCAGTCCCAATGGATCAAAGGGAATGTTAAACTTGATATGAAAGAGTAAGATAAAATAAACTACAATCTTTGACATGGGCGAAGATATATCGTTGCTGATAAAATAGATTTAATTTCATGTTAATTCGCTCAGCTCGCTATTAGGTTTTAAGCAACTTTGAAAACGTAGTTTGCCTCCCGGTGGCTCAACGGTAAGATTGAGGGCTTGTTAAGTTGGGGTTCGATCCATGCATTGGGCTCAGCGCAGATTGACCATTGTGCAGCTATGCGCTTAAACAAAAACAAAGAAACAAAACATATTTGTAAAAATAAATCTGACATTATGTATCTTACTCATTTTTACAGGAACTTAGATTATTAGAACGACAAAAGCTCTTAATAACTCTAAATAATGTATTATGAAAATGGTATTAAAACAACTATGACGAGATATAGCAATCAATATTTTTCAACAGCTGTATGTGTTTTCTCTAGATCTAACCAGTTACTTGTACTTGCACGTGACAGATGGAACTGGTTAAAACTAGTTGTCATGGTTTATTAGCTTTAGTATTTTCAAAAATATTCGTTTGTTTTTCCGAGACATCAGTGGCTCTTACAGTTTGATCTTAGTCTCTAGTGAAAGGTGACATTATTTTAACTCAACTTGACTGCAAGGTAGTAGAAACTGATTACATATAGGACTGGGTGTATTAGTAATCTATTAGTGTGAAATAGAACTCTTCTGGGTTAGGGAGAAGTAAGATCTGAAGCTGAAAATAGTGTTTGATAAATGCCAAAAATATTTTTTTTTTGCTTTCACTGCCCAATAGCTCGATTTTATCGTCAGCTGATGACAATACGAGAGCGAGTTACGTGACCAAATATAGAGAAACTGGCGTTTTGGCACCAAGATCAAATTTTCAAAAAATATTTTGTCAAATCTGGACAAAGTTTGAGATAAATTAATTTTTTGTTGTGGCCACTAAACAGTATATACAGAACATCGACACTTTGCTTACTATTACTTGACCAGGAATAAAAAAAAATCAATGTTTTTAAGATTTAACTTTGATTGTGTTTATTTAGAAGTAAAAATCTGCCCCTTATACCTTACCGAAAGCAATTATCTAAAAAAAAAAAAACTTTTAAATAAGAAAGAGAGTAACAGACAGGAACTGAAGTGGCTTAATTTATTTTATCGCTGTGGTTATATTTTCAGTAGTTCAAAATACCATCTAGCTTGAACTTCTATTTTTAATTTCTAAATCTTAAACCCAAGGATCATTGATGGAGTAATGAAACCCAATGGTTTTTTGATTCTTTTACTTACCAACTTTCTTCTAACCTTATTTTCAGAGTACCCAATATTATGAAATTACAAGTTCAACGGCAATCTGACCAGAAACGAATCGTTGGTCGTGGGGTAGAAACCCCCGTGCACAAGGAGTACATTTACTCCAACGTCAGATTTTTCTTGGTACCTTCCGAACTTAGTGGAACTTAATAATATAACTTAACGTAGGAGGGAACAAGGTAAGGTTTTAACTTTTTTCTTGCGGAATTAACAAAGTCTCACTTAAGAGTTGTACATGTTGAACAAACTGAGGAAAAAACAATCCGCTACTTAATCAACATTTAGATATTTTAATTATTTTTCTTATTCTTGAAAACTATGCTTCTCACGAGATTTTAATTGCTTAGTAACTCTCTGTTACCTATAATGAAAAGAAACACCTTAGTTTTTGTTCATAAGAATGTGGCTACTGTAGAATTGCTTTAACACTTACGTGTTTCGGGAATAAGGAAAGTGTGGTGCTCGAACTGTTGAGGCCTTCCTGTCAAAGTTTTAACGTATAACTTAGATGCTAAATAGATAACGTATCGTATTTATTTTCTGGAAAATATGGAAAGATAAGTATGAAAAAAGGAAAACAACAACATAACAAAGTTGATAAAGATAGGATTTAAATAACATCTAATAGATATGTCGAGCGTTTTTCGTAGGATACAATATAGCCCTAATTACCTGTAAAATGTATACAAGATGTGATTTGTACCTTAAGGTAAGAATAGTTAGATATTCAATATATTTTTCTTTTTAGAAAGTCTACACCTTGAAAAGTATAGACGCATTTGCATGTATTAGCGAACTGGTGGCTGGCTTATAATAATTATTACAATGGTTGGAATCACCGTTTCTACGCGAGAACCCACAGTGTTGATCAAGTTTTTCAGCGCGGGAACCGCCGCTTGTGTTGCTGATATAATCACTTTTCCTTTAGATGTCGCAAAAGTGCGACTGCAAGTAAGTTTTCTTATTATTTTTACGTAGTCGTTTTTTTGAAACCTAAACTATATTAATAAAGATAGAACAAGTTAATTTCGCGTGCTCTGTTAACAACACTTTCTTTTCATTCTGATCAGACGCTTTTACAGAACGAGGTTTATTTACTTAGGTTGTCGCGAAACTTCATACCATCTGCTTGTAGAATTAATCTGTTAATTAGAATGCGAAACATTTTACTAATATTTATTAACCTTGATTATACAAAGAAAATAATTAATTCATATCTGCCCCCAGTGGCACAGCGGTATGTCTGCGGACTTATAACGCTAAAAACCGGGTTTCGATACCCGTGGTGGGCAGAGCACAGATAGCCCATTGTGTAGCTTTGTGCTTAATTACAAACAAACCAAACGAATTCGTACTTTTGCATGATTAGCTGACCTGCAGAAACTTATAGGGGCTTGTCGGTGTCCTCGTCCGTAAGACATTAGAGTAATTAAGAGAGGGAACTACTGTTATCAAAATACGTAACGTTTTTTTTTAATTTCATTAAACATACAATGTTCCACAAATGTAACTTTGAAATCGTTTTCCCTGGCAGCCTTGTTTGTTTTTAATTATGCACAAAGCTACACAAGGGCTATCTTTGCTCTGCCCACCACGAGTATCGAAACCCGGTTTCTAGCGTTGTAAGTCCGCAGACATACCGCTGTGCCACTAGGGGGCCAAATCATATCTACAACAATTTAATCTTTGAACGTTAAAAACTTGTTATTCTTAATATTTTATTTACACTAGAGCTTAATTATTTTATTAAATTTTAAAAATAAGATTATTTGTTTTTAATACCGTAGTTTAAGAACTTTATAAAAATGGAGTTATGTTAAATATGATGTGAAAACACACACTTACACATAGATATATACATGCGCATACGCAGACTAACGTGAGATGCCTCTAAAGTATCAATACACGCTAAAGCGATTATAAAGTTTTATGTTTAAGTGTTTAGATAAGTATGTAAAACCTTTTCTAACGGAAGCAGAAAAGCATTTATTGCCATGTTAATATTAAAATAAAATTATTTTCGTTCCTATTTAAAGAATGAAAAATAAGACAAAGTTATACGTAGTGCAAAAAGTAATTACATCATTCTACTCAATAGTTGTGAAACTTACCCTCAATATCTTAAACTAATATATTATGTCAGTTTTCCTGGTTGATCACTCAGGTATATATCGATAGTAGTGCCGTCTATACAATATTTTGCATCCTACTTCAGTGTAGTAAGATAAACTGGTTGAATTCTTTCCGTCCGTCTCTTAGATGCACCACTTTTTTTCTGTCACCTTTTGTGTAACATATAATTTTGCTATTATTATAATACAGTATTTATGAATGCTGTATACAAGATGTAGATTTGATCAATACTCTTCGTTTCGAACATTATTTCAAGTGTGCTCGAGTTTTGGTTTTGTTTTTCAAGTTCTAAGACATAGTTGTACTTCATGTACTTTTATTATTTCTAGATTCAAGGAGAAGGGGCAACCATCGGAAATTTATCCCTGAATATTGGTAGTACCCCTAGGTACCGAGGTATGCTAGGTACATTGATGACTATTGCCCGCCAGGAAGGACCAAAGAGCCTTTACAATGGACTGTGTGCTGGTCTTCAACGACAGATGGCGTTCGCATCTGTGCGAATTGGGTTATACGACTCCATCAGGTCATTCTACCAGAACCTCATAAATGGTATAATTAACACGGCTGTTCATCACCTAACAAGTGAATTTAAGAAAATAATCATTTCGAAAATGGCATTTGAAATAAGTTATATGAAGAAATATTGCAAATTTCGAATACAGAGTGTATTTTAATAATGTTAACAAAAGTATTTGCTTTTATGCATGAAATTGTCAGAATAATTTCTGAACACTCTGTCTAGAAGTAGGAATTTGAAAGGAAAGGTTTTGGTTTATGTTTTTTGTAAGGAATCTCTTTGGCAGTCTCATACAATAACTTATAAGGTTGAATGAAAATCGGTGAAACAGATATTGTTGTTTTTGAGTATCTAATCTTCTAAAACACCTTTTAACTTTTTAAAGAAATATGTCAAAGGTATAAATAATTTGGGAAATACTTTAAAAATAACTTGTTATTGAAAATAACCATAATTCAATGTTATTCAAACACTCAAAAGCCCTTGCTAGTACTCAAACACGCTTGATGGATAACATATATTGATGGCATAGAGCAGGAACTTGAAAGGAACACATCTGTTATCATTCCTAGGGTCAAATTCCCAAGCTGGAGTAGGGATCCGTATTCTGGCCGGAATCACTTCAGGTGGCATGGCTGTAATCTGCGCTCAGCCCACGGATGTAGTCAAAGTACGAATGCAGGCACAGGTGTCCGGTCAGCCCAAGCGTTACACTGGGGCCTTGCAGGCTTACCGTGTGATTGGTAGAGAAGAAGGCATGAAAGGACTGTGGAAAGGTACAAATGATTTATGGCAATTTATTAAACCATATGAGAGATAATAAAATAAAAAGTTATTGTGAATGTAAAAGCTGATGTTCCTTGTGTATACATCTGAAATACGGGTCTATGTTATATAAACTACCCACTTGTAAACAAATATTTTGGAAAGATGTCACAACATTGTTTCGATAAATAATGATATAAACTACCCGATGCTCTTCTGAAAAAAACAAACAAACTTATCTCAGTTACCATGTATTTTCGTAGCTACAGATTAAGAATGGGTACAAGATGTTACATTATTTAATCTAAAGTGTCTCTTAAACCAGTTTGTTTTTCGTAGCTTTTCTATTTCGATATATTGAGTATCTTTGTTTCAGGCACACTTCCAAACGTGACACGTAATGCCGTAGTGAATGCCTCTGAGCTGGTGGCTTACGACTTGATCAAAGAATTTATCATTGAACGTCACTTGATGACAGACAATGTCCCTTGTCATTTTGTGTCAGCTTTTGGGGCAGGCTTCTGTGCGACAGTGGTGGCTTCTCCTGTGGATGTGGTAAAGACCAGGTACATGAATTCCTGGCAGGGCCAGTACACTGGAGCACTAGACTGTGCAATGAAGATGTTCAAGGAAGGCGGTTTTATGTCTTTCTATAAAGGGTAGGGACTAATTTAAAGTACGTAATTGTGGAGCATAATTTCCTTTTAAGGGTCTTTCTATAAAGGGTAGGGACTAATTTTGAAGTACGTAATTGTGGAGCATAATTTCCTTTTAAGGGTCTTTCTATAAAGGGTAGGAACTAATTTTGAAGTACGTAATTGTGGAGCATAATTTCCCTTTAAGGGTCTTTCTATAAAGGGTAGGGACTAATTTTGAAGTACGTAATTGTAGAGCATAATTTCCCTTTATAAGGGTCTTTCTATAAAGGGTAGGGACTAATTTTGAAGTACGTAATTGTGGAGCATAATTTCCTTTTAAGGGTCTTTCTATAAAGGGTAGGAACTAATTTTGAAGTACGTAATTGTGGAGCATAATTTCATTTTAAGGGTCTTTCTATAAAGGGTAGGAACTAATTTTGAAGTACGTAATTGTGGAGCACAATTTCCTTTTAAGGGTCTTTTTATAAAGGGTAGGAACTAATTTTGAAGTACGTAATTGTGGAGCATAATTTCCTTTTAAGGGTCTTTTTATAAAGGGTAGGAACTAATTTTGAAGTACGTAATTGTGGAGCATAATTTACTTTTAAAGAAACACTGGCACGTAAATGCTAATTAATTCACACACGTCTCATCTTTCGCTGGAACTGAAATGTGTAAACTGTTTTATCTATTTTTCACATAATGTTTCTAACTATTTACCATCATATATTATGTGTCTCTGTTACCTATGATTTTCTTTCTGTTCATAAATCTAAGACATCGTAAGCTTATTTAAAGGAGTTTAGGTTCACTATATTATACACATCAAAAGAACATATAGACGTTTTTACTGAACATTTACTTCATTATAATTATATTCTCTTCGCAAATGGAAGACGAAACAATAGTTGTAGAATTGGGTTTCGTTTGTGTGTGTATTAAATAACAAATTTTGGGTTTTTCATAGATTCCTTCCCTCGTTTATTCGGCTTGGTTCTTGGAACATCTGCATGTTTGTCACATTCGAACAGTTGAAACGTCTATGTTGTCTGATGGGCGACAAAGATCTCTTCTCAAACATATCAATTCCCGCTCCTGGATACGCTCCTGTTCTTCAGTTCTTAGTGGAGCCTCCCTCCTCCACAGCAAAGGTAGAAGGATTTTACAAGAAGAGAATTAACCAGTGGGATATATAAAAGATGGAACAAGCAACACGTGTGTTTATCTGAGTACGAAAAGTGTACAAGTTTAGAACAAAATAATTCGTGACGTGTGCGACAGACTATTATATTCACAGGTAGTGTTATGCACTATTTATCAATATTTGGGTTAATTTCAACGAAACCACGTTTCGTAAGTAAAGCATCTTGGTATGCCTCGAGATTATTTAAAACGACTGAGACCCCTAGACTTGGTGGAACAAAAAAGAGTAATTAATGAATGATACATGATTGACTCAAATGTTTTGTCTTTAACTTCACCTCTAGTGCCCAAAAGAAGATTATTATTTGTATAATCTGTACGGCTGATTTAGAGAGGCTCAAGGAAGCTAACTATCGCTGTGTCATGAACAATGTATATATATATTTGTGCTCTTTCATGATTTGAATGGTATTCTAGTTCACTCAAGATTAAAAGTGTGAACACCATCTCGCGAGTTTATATTTACACAGCTATTTTGTTGTTGTTTTTCATCTATATAAAACTATCTTCAAAATAACGGTTTGTGTGCATCCTAATGTCAATGTTTAATTTTAATTAGTAAATCCCTTTCTGACAATAAAGAACGCTGGACAAATTCATCTAGATATCAGCTCTATGGTTAATGCAATTTTATTATGTAGGCCTAACGTTATTGAATCATCGCTCGAACTAATTAGAAACTTGATAGATAAATAGTTCTCAGTTATAGAGGCTTAGAGCGTTGAATTAATGAATCCCAGAGCAGTAAACTACATTAAGTTAAATGTAACTTAATGTACTTGTATTTCAATATCTAAACTTGCTTTACCTCATAGAGATACCATTATTAAACATTCAAAACAAACGTGTTCTATATACTGACGTATGTAATGATTCTGTTTATCCTATTCTGCTTCAACAGATTGTTTGGACCTTTTACCACAGCAATCGTTAAAATTACTATTGCGTATGTTTATGAAAGTATATGGCTGTAATTGCAATTTTGCGAAATGCTGCTTTGTAGGGTGCATTTTATTGAATGACTTGTTAATTTTTATAATCACTTAGCTAATGTTTTAGTCTTGCAAAGTATATGTAACACTTGCGGAATTCGATGTATAATAGAATATGAAGAAATGGCGAAGAAAATAAAATTATTTCATTTACCTTTTGTCCATGCAGAGTTCTGTGTTAAAAAATTTCTTCTTCTGAATAGATCACACATTGATAATGAAAGCTTGATTAAGCTCTTACGAGCAAGCCAAACATTATCTGATTTTGAAGATATGGTTAAAGTTTTCTGGGAAGATCACACTCTATTTAATATGGGAAACTTGATTAATCTCTTCTGAGCAGACCACTTGTTGTCTTACATGAAGAAATATGATTGAACCTCTACAGTGGAATTAATCTTATAATTATATAATACATTAATTGAAGTGAACTTTGCTGATTGTTTGTTTGTTTCTGTTTAATCTCAAAGCTGCAAAATGGGCTATCCGTGTTGTCTACCGCAGGCACTGAACGCAGAATTTTAGCATTACAAGACCTCAAGCTTACCGTTAATCCACCAGGACACTAACTCTTTCGAGCTACCAACATGCTTTCAGACATAATAAAAATGTTCCCTCAGAGGAAACACTGTCTAGAACCAAAATTCTTATACTGTTTTCTCTGCAAAGTGTTGTCCAAAATATATAAAAAAGATCCCACTCTTTCTAATATCGGACACCGTGATTCATCTTTTTTCATTCATATTTGAACATAAGAAAACCTAATTTTGTTGTTGTGCATATAAGCGTCACTTCTAACATTAAAAACGTAATTCAGATTTTATGTCAAAACCACATACTACCTAATATTGCATACTATGAATTAACGTTTGTTTTTGTTTTGAAGACCGCATATTGGATGATATTGATTACCTAACTTAGATCTTGTAGGCATGCGATCAAATGTCAATTGTAGGCATGCGATCAAATGTCAAAGATTTGCTTTAATGTTCTGAGCAGCCTTAATGCTGACTATCGTTGTAAGACCTGATTCAGTTCATCCGGGTACATCGCAAGCTGCTGAATGCCAGAAAGCTCAGTTTTTCTGAGCAGATTGAAGGCTTCTTTCCACCCAAACCTGATTCAGTTTTTCTGAGTAGATGCCAGGCTGTTTAATGCCTAAAAGTACAGTTCTTCTGAGCAGACGAAAAGCTATTTGTCACCAATATCTGATTCAATTTTTCTGGGTAGATGCCAGGTTGCTTAATGTCTAAAAGTACAGTTCTTCTGAGCAGACGATAATCTATTTATCACCAATATCTGATTCAGTTTTTCTGGGTAGATGCCAGGTGGTTAATGCCTAAAAGTACAGTTCTTCTGAGTAGACGAAAGGTTATTTATAACCAATATCTGATTCATTTCTTCTGGATAGATTCCAGGTTGTTAATGCCTAAAAGTACAGTTCGTCTACGCAGATGAAAGGCTGTTTATCATTAAGCCCTGAATCAGTTTTTTTTTGCACAAATAGCATTACATCTGAAAATAAATACACTGGAAAGTAAGCGTTTATTATTTCATATGATGTTCATGAGGATATTTGTAACTAAAATGTATTACTTTTTATATAAAATAATTTTCAACGCTTGTTTTATGTGTGTTTGACTAATGTTTATCACGTATTAATAATTGAGATTACATTTTCATCGATAAACAAAGTTTTTATGTATTTGTTTTTCTTTGTTGCGCGTATTGCTTGTGATTTCTGTATATATTTTATTGTATTCTTGATATTATCTATAAGCTGGTTAAACACGTGTATAGACTTATATCAAACTCCATCTTGATGGACAAAGGGCAGCTAAGCTCGGCCTTGTTTCATACTTAAGGTTCAAGAACCGATCAAAGATTTATTTGCTTGAGTTAGGACTTTGATAATAGCTGATAGCAAGAGCTCACCTAAATTTTTTCCATGACCTACATATATATATACTTACAGGCACGTGTGGGCACTCATATGTAAACAAGAACAATCGTAGTAATATTAAATACTATTGTCTACAAGTTGAAAGCAGGAATTTTCAGGTTACAAGAGTCAGCTAGCCTATACGTTTTAATAGAACACCAGAAATATAAGAAAATAATCATATTGTTTCTAGTCCCCAGTAAAACTTTACTTGAATCAGAACCGCTTTTTTTTAGTTATAAGTTATTGTAGGGAAGAACAGAATGGTAGACAGTAAAAATATTACCCAGTGCAATGGTAAGATCGCAATTCTAACACGTCCCTCGATGGGACAGCGGTAAGTTCACATAGTTATGATGCTAAAATCCGGGGTTCGATTCCCCGCGATGGACACAGCAGATAGCCCAATGTGGCTTTGCTCTAAAATAAAACAACAAATACTATTCCAACACTTCTTTGTTTGACTATCAAATATCATTGAGCGCTATGATTACTAAAGATCTCAGTTGAAATCCCAAGACATTCAGAATTGTAACGTTTATTGAACTAATTTATGCCCCCCCCCCAGTGGCACAGCGGTATGTCTGCGGACTTACAACGCTAGAAACCGGGTTTCGATACACTTGGTGGGCAGAGCACAGATAGCCCATTATGTAGCTTTGTGCATAACTTCAAACAAACAAACTATTTTATAATAGAAACATTATTCTAATGCTTTATAGGTTTTAACTGTTCTTAATGCTTAGTCGAAATTCTGTGGACCTTACATAACTTTGTTATTTACGGCCAAACGGTTTAGCCCAAAATACCTTGAATGCATTTGGCGTCATCGTATTTTTATCAGATGTTTGTGTGGCACAATGCCATATAACATTTATTTTAATCATCACTACATCATTTTCGTATATTAATTCTTTAAAACAATGAACTACATTGTGGGGTCCTTGAATAAGTTTTTATTTGCTGTTGATCACAAAGCTACATAGTGGGTTATCTGTGTTCAGCCCATCGCGGGTATTGAAAACAGTTTGTTGCGTTATAAGCCCTCAAGCTTACGGTTGAGCCATTAGGGAAGGTGGACTTGAATTGTTAAACTGTAGCACTGGTAGGAATGGTGAGTCTATTATTGTTACTGAGAGTAGATTCGGTATTATTTATAATTAAAGTTCAGTTGCAAAAGCAACGTACAAACACAACGACGCTAAAAGACATCACATTTTATCATTGAAACTATATTTGCTGATTTTATTGACTGTAATGTTTCAAACATCGGGTGCGAGACAAAAACAAACATCAATAATATTTGAAAAATTAATTTCGAAAAGAAATAACTTGCAATAATTGTTATATACAATTCACGTACCTGTAGGTTTTACAAGTACTCAGACAATAGGTTTAACAAGTATTTAGCTTGGAAGCCAAAATATCTTAAGGAACTGTCTGTGTTTGTCTTTTTTTAACAAGAACATTGAATATGAAAAACACAAACAAACTACTTGCGTGTATATACAATAAAATATTTAAACAAATGCTCTACTCATATAAGAAACATTATAATGTAATAATGCTACAAAATAATCAAGTTGTAACGTAAAACTGATTTACGGTAATAATAATGTAAAGTAATAACACTGTAAAAAATATATTGTGATGTAATAATGCTGTAAAATAACCATTTTATAATGCAATCAGGTAGTAATGCTATGATGCTAAAGTAAACATATAAGTTCAAATTATTTTCTTATGTTCGTTCTGAAACTGATAGAAATAGAAAAAAAAACAGTTATTGGTCACTTGCGTTTATGTGATATATCTTAATCATGCATACATGCAAGAGATCACAAAGACTGAAAGAAACTGTAACCAACTGAACTAGTAAAGTAAAAGAGTATTAGGTAATTATTTCCTTTTATCAATGGGCGTGGCTTTAGTAAATATAATTTCTAAGAAACCTAGTTGCTAAAAAATAGAAAACTTGGAACCTAATCCTTACTTTGGCGGGAATTCAAATCAACAAGTAAGTACTTTTGACGATCATAAAATCAACACTTCTGAGGATGTAGTCGTAGAGAACACTTTGAAATAAATCTTACCATCATCATTTATTCGACATCGCTTGTCTTCCCGTAATACCTAAAATAAAAGTATTTTTAAACTTATATTTGTAATTTATCATACAGTCCAGGCGTTTTCATTTATTTCATAGTATTTTTATTCATGTTATTTAATTAAGACTTCCTAAATTCATGCTAAACCTTGTCCATTTTTTTCTGAACAGGTTGGAGCTTTGTTGTACATAAGAACCAGATTTTCATCTGAATTCATACTTTTTGAATAATTATTAACAGAAATAATCGGCCCAGCATGACCTGGTTGTTAGGGCGCTCTACTCTCAATCTGAGGGTCGCGGGTTCGAATCCCCGCCCCATCAAAGATTCTCACACTTTCAGCCTTGTAACCCAAGAGTTGGCGGTGGTGACTAGCTACCTTCTCTCTAGTCTTTCACTGCTAAATTAGGGACGGCTAGCGCAGATACCCCTCGTATAGCTTTGTGCGAAATTCAAAACAGTGTAAGACTATAGGGAAGGCAGCTAGTCATCACAACTCACCGCCAACTCTTGGGCTACTCTTTTACCAACGAATAGTTGGATTGACCGTCACATTATAACGCCCCAACGGCTGAAAGGGTGAGCATGTTTGGTGGAACGGGGATTCGAACTCGCGACCCACAGATTGCAAGCCGAAGTCCCTAACCACCTGGCCATGCCGGGCCTTAGGTGAATGTACGCCAAAATTCTGAAATGAATTAGAGCTAAGATTGGTCACCAGATGGCAATACTAATCAATCAAATTATGTGAAAAACAGTTTATAGACTAGCAATAAAACTTTTAAGTAGTACTTAATAGTTCGCTCAGGATAGTTGCGCTTGTCGGTCGAAATATTGTCTCCAAACTTTTTAAATAAGCCTAAAACAAAATATTTTCAAAACAAACTATTATACTATTTCCGTGTCTTTATTCGTTACGTTATAATGCGAAAATCAGGGGTTCGATTCCTCGCGATATACAGAGCGCAGATTGCACATTAGGTGACTTTGGGCTAAAAACAGCAACAACACCATTTATTAAGAGTAACTGAATTTATCAGTAATGATAATTAAATGATAATTCCTGAGATTAAGAATAAATTACGGTATCATTACAACTGTTACTCTAGCGGTGGAATTCTTGCAATAGAAATAACTGGATGTACTAGTAATAATTATCAATAATGAAGTCCGCTAAATAGGCCAGTGATGTTCTTGATAAGAAAGTATACTAATAACAACTATCATTCTACTGTAGTTCTATACAGTAGACTAGAAAAGCTTTATGTTGAGGTCTCGCATTGTGTTTGTTTGTTTTGAATTTCGCGCAAAGCTACACGAGGGCTATCTGCGCTAGCCGTCCCTAATTTAGCAGTATAAGACTAGAGGGAAGGCAGCTAGTCATCACCACCGCCAACTCTTGGGCTACTCTTTTACCAACGAATTGACGGATTGACCGTCACATTATAACGCCCCCACCGTTTGGTGTGACGGGGATTCGAACCCGCGACCCTCAGATAGCGAGTCGAGCGCCCTAACCACCTGGCCATGCGGGGCTCGCATTGTGATACCTCTAGTTGGAATAGTGAAATAATTAGATGTATCTGTTACTGTTATTAGACTTGCTGAGTTCGTGCATTAAAGATATAACCAATATCTGTTATACTAATTCATACACATCTGTTATACTTGTTCATAGTTAACGTTCTACGATTCTCTAAATGTACCAATAGCAACAACTGAATTTGTAGAAATTGAATGAATTGAAAACAGTTATTTTACTGTTTTTAAAAAAAGTGTTTTAAGGTACATCTTTATGAAGTACTTCAATTCGACAACTTTTTGTTGACATCAGTTGCTCGAAGTATGGAGCTACGGAAAGGAATGTCGTTCGCATTGATAAAATAAATACCAATTTCGTTCCCCTTGTAAACAACAATGCGCAAATGGAACGTTCGGAGAGTGAGACTAATGACTGACATAGTCTTAATGAAGATGCATGTATACAGCTACAGTCATACTGATAATCCCTATGCCAAATATCATCTTCATCAATCGTTTGCTCTTAATGTTTGTTTTATAACAAAGCCATTGTTAACTCTTAAGTTAGATTAAATTAGTGACCGATCAGTGTGATAATTAAGTTCTCCGTACATTTCCTTCATTTTGTTTACAGAGTTCCTCTTGTTAAAGTAGTTACAATTCGAGCACTGTTCTTGTTCTTTTATCGTAAAATGTTTGTTTACAGAGTTCTTCTTGTTAAAGTAGTTACAATTCGAGCACTGTTCTTGTTCTTTTATCGTAAAATGTTTGTTTACAGAGTTCTCTTGTTAAAGTAGTTACAATTCGAGCACTGTTCATGTTCTTTATCGTAAAGTGTAAATAGTTGATTGTTTTCCTGCTTACGAAAGAATATACAAGACATACTTTCTGAAAGCAGACTTTATTGATAGAAGACGCCAGTTTCTACATTCACTGTTAGGGCCAAGTAATAATGTTGATACATTTGTTTCTATTTTCTACTTACACTTTTATATTTTGACATATATTCAAAACATTTCTGACAGTTTTTTTTTGTTTTTTTTCCCAATAAGATATATATAAGTGATTAATATTAACATCTAGATAGTTTCGTACTTTTGTTTGTCCACTCCAATAAACTTTAATTTATCATTTAGATGATTTCCGGTTAGTTTCGTATTCTTCTGTTAAGAGGACAATATTCTGCATATTCTTCCCAGGAACAGCCCATGGAGCTGTGACAACATTCATACATAATTCCTCGCTTGGTGAATCGATAGCTTCTGCTTGGCTTAGCATTTCTTAGTATACTATGTGCCAGAGTTTCTGGCAAAAATGATCCGGTATCACCTGTAGAAATGAAGACAGTACAAATAAGTAATTGATATTTCAAAATATTTGTATAATTATTTTAATGTAACCTCAATTGAATTACAGTTGTTTCGAAATGACCATAAATTCAACGCACTTTCATACATTGCAGGTAAGTATCGCTGGTTGTTCACTAATACTTTGTCTTAAACCAACAATCTCTTAAAAATTAACAAGACGTAAAACACATCACTTTATATAATGCATTGTGTAATTTTATATTTATTATACGTTTTATTAAAACAAATGTTTTTAACTTCAAGGAAAGAATGGGAAGTTATAGTTCTCTAATATTATTACTTACAGACTTTATAGTTTCTGCCTCTCCATATGATTATTCGTATTTTTTACATTTGATTGTTTATTTCTATAAACTTGATTATTACTTCTTTTTTATTGTTACTTATTAAAATCTTTTAATTGATATGTTTATACTAGACTGCTATTTTTACAAATTTAATTATTGATATTATACTTGATTGTTACTTTTTATAAATTTGATTATTTATCTTACATTTGATATTGTAACTTTTATAAATTTAATTATTAATATTACACTTGACATTGTAACTTTTATAAATGTAATTATTGATATCACATTTGATATTATAACTCTTCATACATTTGATTATTGATATTACATTTGATATTGTAACTTTTTGTAAATTAAATTATTGATATCACATTTGATATTTTTAACTTTTATTAAATCTAATTATTGATATCGCACTTGGTATAATAACTTTTTGTAAATTTAATTATTGATATCACATTTGATATTTTAACTTTTATTAGATTTAATTATTGATATCACATTTGATATTTTTAACTTTCATTAAAGCTAATTATTGATATCGCATTTGGTATAATAACTTTTTGTAAATTTAATTATTGATATCACATTTGATATTTTTAACTTTTATTAAATCTAATTATTGATATCGCACTTGGTATAATAACTTTTTGTAAATTTAATTATTGATATCACATTTGATATTATAACTTTTATTAAATTAAATTATTGATACCAAATTTGATATTTTAACTTTTATTAGATTTAATTATTGATATTACATTTGATATTATAACTTTTATTAAATTTAATTATTGATATTACACTTGGTATTTTAACTTTTATTAAATTTAATTATTGATATCACACTTGGTATTTTAACTTTTATTAAATTTAAATATTGATATCACACTTAGTATTATAACGTTTTGTAAATTTAATTACTGATATCACATTTGATATTTTAACTTTTATTAAATCTAATTATTGATATCACATTTGATATTTTAACTTTTATTAAATTTAATTATTGATATTGCACTTGATTGTTACTTTTATTAATTTAATTATTTATATTGCTCTTTCTTATTAATTTTATAAATCTGATTGCGGTTTTTTCTCACTTTCATGCCTGATAGTTGTATTTTTACATTTAACGATTGGTTGTTAATATTATTGTTTTTTTTCATAGATAGGTTTCAACTTCAGGTATATATTTGAAATTATTGTAGTCAAGTTAATTTTATAATTTTTTTGCAAAGAACAACAAAAAATGAATTTTAGAAACGTGCTAGAACTGTTTGCAAAGTCTTTATACGTTAAAAGTGAAAAAATAACTGCGTTAATAAAGTGCACAGAGCTTTCTTTAACTATAAATATAAATAGAGAAACATTCTATTATTTTATGAATAATTCCATTTTGAGTGAGAGTATATTTTGAAAAATATCAAAATAATTAATAATCCAGCCCGTTACTGTTATCTATGAATATAGTTTCTTCGTTTTTTTAGTAGTAATGAACAATTCTTTCATAAAAGAACATAAAGACAAACAAGATTACGTACCCATTGATCTTTGAATCATAGTACTGTGCCGTTTAATCCGTTCTAGTTTATAGACATCCTTCCTACAAGCCCACTCCATGTGACTAAATAGTTCCTGAAAACAACGCTGGTGACGCTCTTCATGCCAAACTGCTTGCCAATCAAACCTGCTTCTGCATGACAACAAAATAACCTGACATGTACAACCAATATTGTGTATCAAAGGTTGTATATTACTGAGTAAAAGTTTCCACGTCACCCGATATTCGTTTAATGAAACGTCGACGGTACGTTTGTTTTTAATTATGCACAAAGCTACACAAGGACTATCTGTGCTCTGCTCACCACGGGTATCGAAACCCGGTTTTTAGCGTTGTAAGTCCGCAGACATACCGCTGTGCCACTGGGGGGCACGACGGTACGAATCTTGTTTCTAAAACTAGTAAAACAGTAGTTTTCTATTTATCATCGTTAGTATTTATTTCTTGACTAACGGTAATTACGTTCACACACGAGTACTCTTATATGTTACGTCTCAGAATATTTTCTCTTTTATTGTTTTATTTATATATTATTGTAATCTAGGGGGAGGGAGAGCAAGAAACCTGTGGTTTGAGAATCACGGTAATAACTCTCCAAGTATAGCAAGGAGCCTGTAACTGTAGAATTACATTAATGACTTAACAATTATATCAGGAAATTCGTGAATATAGATTGAACACAGTATTCCAAATGTGACCTGACCTATGACCTATACAATCTCTTTTGACTTTAAGTAGCAGGGAATCGTGGTTATAAAAGAGTCGCACTTATGACTCTTTAAGTAGCAGAGGACCCGTGGTTATATAGAGTCACGTTACTGATTTGACAGATCTAACGTGTAACCAGTGAATATGGGAAATCACTCTGATGGCGGAATAAGTAACAAAAAGTCACGATAGTAAATAATAGTAAACCTGTGAGCATATACAGTTGTTTAATGATCGCTAAGTAGCAAGCGGTTTGTTTGTTTTTGAATTTCGCGCAAAGTTAATGAGGGCTATCTGCGCTAGCCGTACCTAATTTAGCAGTGTAAGACTAGAGGAAAGGCAGCTAGTCATCACCACCCACCGCCAACTCTTGGGCTACTCTTTTACCAACGAATAGTGGGATTGACCGTCACATTATAACGCCCCCACGGCTGAAAGAGTGAGAATGTTTGGTGTGACGGGGATTCGAACCCGCGACCCACAGATTGCGAGTCGACCGCCCTAACCACCTGGCCATGCCGGACAGTAGCAAGCGGACTAATTACTATACACTGTACAAGAAGAATCCAGGTTGTTGTTTTTTTTTAGTATGTTCTTTCGCCAGCACCCTAATACTGGTAGCAAACATTTTCCACCCCAAATACCGAACCCATTGTATCTTTATGAATACCTCCTAAGTTTTAAATGTGTTGTTAAAACTTATAGTGGATCAAATCACTATTGTTTTCGAGTCCTGTATGATGAAAAAAGTGCTATTAAATGACAAATGATTTTTAGGAAATTTAGCAAGTTGGTGTATTTTAAAGTGTGGATTAGGCCTAAGTTTTTGAGAACAAATTTCTGAAAGCCACATACCAATGGATATAAATAAGAAAATATTAAAGAGTACTCATAAAATCAGTTGGAAAATGCATAAAATTGGGATCTATATCAGACCTTATTGATAAAGTACTGCTAGAGTTCAATACTATTCTCTCTCTGAAAGAATCGAAACTAATACAACTGGTGTTCTTAAAAAAACAAATAACACACCAAGTTAAATGTGTTTGAGTATGTGCTTATATATCTTATCGCCACAAATTTACCGTAAGTCAAGATAATTCGTGTAATTTCAGGGCTAATTATGCCGGCTGGGATACGATAGACATTGTTGTGGTCTAGGCACTAATTATGTTACAAGTTGTTTGGCCAACAGCTTTATGGTGTGAACTGTATTAAATAAGTAGTGTGGTGTAATTATTACCAACTTCATTTAAGTCACTTGCAAGTGACAATTACGGTAAGGATTAATAACACAATATTAATTATTTATTTATTTAAGCACACGTTATTTATTATATTTTTACTTCATTTAAATTTGATATCATGCGGGAGAATTGGCGAACCAGAAAGCTAGACTTCTTGTTCCATGAGCGAGTCAAAACTATATTGTCAACGAGAGAAAAATACATTAGTAATTCTGAAAACGTATGAATGAAAGCAAGGAAGAATAAGGTAATAATATGTCCACCACACTACATCTGGTTCATCTAGTGTCGACGAGGCCTTTCTTTTAATACCAGGACTCGTCAGGCCGGCTGGGATATAACAAATTGGGTAAATTATTCAGGAAATAATAGCAATATTTCGAAGATTCTGATACTTCTCAAGCTGAGATCTTCATGATAAACTTGTGGCTGATAACATTATTCATGTTGACTCCCGTTTTACATAATTAACATGTCATATACAAATTTAATAGTAAATACACTGATTCTCTTTGAAAAAGTTATTAAACATCAGCATCAGACACTTTCCCCAAAGAAAGTGATAAGATTCACGAGCAACCTGGCTATGTCTCAGTCAGACGCGTGAAGAATAATGTAGACGAACTCATGTGAAATACAATATTTCATTTATGCATCATGTGTAAGTATACTGAATGAATTATATTTTTGGGATTCTTACAGCACTATTGTAATATGTAATACATACGTAGTTTATGCTTTTAATTTGACTCATTAAACCACAGAAGTTCTGAATGTAAAAGTATTGATAATATTGTTGACACTTCGATACTTGAATTATGTATTTTTGGTTTCATTAAACTTCTTAATACATAATAAAATTTCCTTTAGGCTATAAAAGAGATGTTACTATGTGCTAAGAATTTAGGAATCTTATGCTGAGTTGTTCAACTCGCATGACGGTTATTGTACTTGGATATCGAAATATTAGACTCAGATAGTAAGTCGCCCTACTCGTATGAAGAGTCATTACACTCTTATAGCGATTTGTTTAAATTCGATATTTCGTCTTTCATCAAAGATGATGAGTCGTCTAACTTGTAACAAGTCATTTTACATGGATAAATAGTAGCCTGACCCATCATCCAAGGAAGTTTGCTAGAGAATTAAAATATAGCCTGAACTCATTTCAACGAGCCACTTGACTCTCTAGACCAGTCGAATAAGGCATAAGCAAATGACTCACTTGTTTGAGTCAGGTGACTAGTCTGTGGTTTTCAATGTGTCTACTCACCTAGTTCTAAAAACAGTCTCCCAGGATGAATGAGCAGAAGCGCTCACGAAACTCACAATCAAGAATGTCGTCCATAGGTGACTTACAAAGCTTTGGCTTTGCTGTACTTTTTCCATATGGCGGCAAAGCGATAGAACATATAGGCCGAATCTGAAAAAAAAAACATTCAAGGAAAGGATATGATTAAATAACTATAAAATTTAAAGAAAATTAATATATAGCCTCAAGTAAGACCTTGAATATTAAGTACCTAATTTTAAATCTTGTTTGTAATTAAGCACAAAGCTACACAATGGGCTATCTGTGTTCTGCCCACCACAGGTATCGAAACCCGGATCCTAGCATTATAAGTCCGAAGACATACCGCTGTGCCACTGGGGGGGGGGGCAAACATTAAGAAAGGAAGCTTCAGATCGAGTTTGAAAAAATCTAAACCACACAACGGAAGGAAGAAACCAGAAAGGCATTAACATATTTCAACCAGTGGTTCCTTTTGTGCGAGTAAGTCAAGTTGGTCAATAAAATGTTAAATATATAAAAAATATTCAACTGGCTCTAAATGTAAATATTTTGTGATTATATTAAGATTAGATATAAACCGTAATCAGGATAAGTGATCAATGATTTATGCTCTATTGTACCCCAACAACAATGAAACACCAATCACATTTTTTAAAATAATTCTACATTATGATACTGAGCAACACAAGATAAAAATTAAACACAGGAAACAGAATGTATTTAGGTCTACAACTCATAGGCTAATATTATATAATTTCAGGTGATTGTGATGTGGTAAGGCTGATTGTTTAGTATGTAGTTTAAAGTAATAATGCTAGATTTACAGTATAAATGTTTATCTGCCATACGATACTACCCATTTCTGAACTTTTCCCCAGTGAATCATTGAAATCAATAAGTGTTGGTTATGTAAAATTTAAGTGCTCGGACTACAATTATAATTTAGGAAACATAGACTGAAACACATAGTTTCGTACATTTTTATATTTCTTATGCTGCCAATACTTTTAAGTTAATTTTATGAAAATGAAATCGACATATCTAACTTCTTCGGCTTCAGATACCATTTATTTATTTGAATGAATTCGGACGAGAGACAGGTTGCACATCACCTTGGAAGGTTCAGTAGATTTTATCAGTCATCTTTAGTTCGATAAGATTATAAGTCTTTACCTGGTATAAGTGACCAGTGGTACCTGATTTAGGTCTGCACTAAAACTTTAAACAACCTCAAAACGTGTATAAGCCTTTCAAAATTTCTGCTTGATTTTCATGAGCTGTATCCATATATGAATTTTTAAAACTGATTTCATGAGTTGTATCTATATATGAATGTTTAAAACTGACTAATTTCATGAGTTGTATCTATATATGAATGTTTAAAACTGACTAATTTCATGAGTTGTATCTATATATGAATGTTTAAAACTGACTAATTTCATGAGTTGTATCTATATATGAATGTTTAAAACTGACTAATTTCATGAGTTGTATCTATATATGAATGAATGTTTAAAACTGACTAATTTCATGAGTTGTATCTATATATGAATGTTTAAAACTGATTAATTTCATGAGTTGTATCTATATATATGAATGTTTATAACTGACTAATTTCATGAGTTGTATCTATATATGAATGTTTAAAACTGATTAATTTCATGAGTTGTATCTATATATGAATGTTTATAACTGACTAATTTCATGAGTTGTATCTATATATGAATGTTTAAAACTGATTAATTTCATGAGTTGTATCTATATATGAATGTTTGAAACTGACTATTTTCATGAGTTGTATCTATATACGAATGTTTAAAACTGATTAATTTCATGAGTTGTATCTATATATGAATGTTTGAAACTGACTATTTTCATGAGTTGTATCTATATACGAATGTTTAAAACTGACTCTTATTTGAACAATGAAGCACATGAAACTTTAGTTCTTAAGTAATTAAGTAGCACTGATATCTCAAGAATAAGTTTATTTTTAAGTTAAAAATCGCAAAATATAGCGTGTTCAAAATTTTACCATCTGCATATCAGATAAGTATTTATGTTTTTTACGTTCAGTAAATGGTGATAACAACGACTTATAATAGACTTCGATAACTATTTTGTGAATTAAGGTAAAAGGAAAATCATCTTGTGAAAAAGCCTTAATTATTTCAGCTTTTGGCACCTAAGAAAACGTGTTATTATGATAAGTTGTTGCGAATATGTGACACCTACAACATAATTACTGTATATTCTTAACGGAACCAATAAAGAATAAAGTCAATTAGAAGTGAGGTGACGTCGTTCAAGGTGCTTTCATTGCTGAACTTAATATTCCCGCCTACAGTTATTTTTATTAGACAAGAAGGGATTGGAAAGAAAGAAAATGTTCAATTAATAACGTATGTCAACAAAAATTACTTAGCCTAGAGCAATGCTTCTATCTAGATTTTTGATGAGTAAAGTAAAGTATTCTTGTTCTAAAACATTGTTTGTATTAAATTATCCAAAGGTCATTACAGGAACCAATAGATACATGACTTTCAAAAAGAGCTAAAGTATTCGCAAGGATAGAGCAAATGGAGTAGTTTATTTAAGATATTTTGTTTCGATGTATTCCACCCTCAATTCAATGGTTAATCAGACAGTCATCAGGTATGTTAACTCATTGTTATTGACTAAAAATAATTGAGGCCTAAGTAATAGATTTCATATATATATATATATATATTATTATTATTATTATTAAAGGCTAATCGCTCTTTACAAAACGTTATTCTATGACCCATGCCACTCCTTCAACATCATCCGTCGTACTCAGTTTGATATTCTTCATTACGCGTCATTCCCCGACGCTAAAATTTCTATTTTAATAATCTTCTGCGAAGAATAGCGGGTTAATTCTAGATCACACAGCTTGAAGAATTTTCAACGAACTCTCCGTGCTAGTGGACGTTGGTTTTTAAGACCACGTTTAAGTAGTTCAAAGGGACTTGAAGGCATGTGTTAGAAGGTCAATGCTGTGATATCAATTTTCGGCCATCTTTCCGATTAGAACAGTCGTTGGGTTTGAGGTGTGGTTGAAAGTTCGTGAACTTTCGACAAGTTCAAACCCTTGTATGTTATGTTGTTAATGAAATAATAATGTCTAGTTGCACTGTAATAAAATTTTGGGTCAGAAGGTTCTCTTTCTTAACCATAGCCTTCACTTTGCGGATGAGGTCAGTGTCTCTAATTGGGTTGGACTGTAGTTTATTTGGAAACCGTTGCTTTCCTAAATGTTTTTCTGGGCAAATTTTGCACTTCCACAAGAACATTCAAAACCATTCCATGAAATGTTGCGTCCTTTGGCTCTAGGAATATCGGGAAGAGTTGTAACATAAAATATGGCATATTCTACAAACATACGTCTATCCACGGCAACACTGCACTGTCCAAAAGTCGGGAATTCTTCATAGCCAAATATACATATGTTAACATGTACTTCTTGGTAGCATATGTCTATATTAGTATATGCAAATCGTTCTTATAACATGCGATTAACCCTCTGTACAAGCATGCCTATATTACTTAAATAACTATATCTCGCTTAATCTATCAAAATTACCAAATAAGATAACTGTAAATTATTCAGGTATTTGTTGGTGAATATATCTATATAAAGTTATATCTAAATAATTTTAGATATATCCTAAAACAGCACGATATACATCTGACATTTAACGTGTCGTTTTAGCTTTGTGAGACTAAAATTGGTAGATTATACGTCTAAGGGTTTTCAAGACGCGTATGGTCACTTTAACTTTTAATATTAGTTTTGTAAAACTACCGTTTGGTTGCTTACACGTCTAAGGATTTTTTAAGACACATATGACCATTTTATCCTTAAATATTAGTTTTGTAAGACTGACGTTTGGTTGATTACATGTCTAACGACACTGTAAGACACAATGTGTGATAAGCATCTTCTTACAGATCCCAGAATTATTTTGATGTAATTTTACATTTTAAGAACATATGCTAACCATTCCTGTCTTGCTGGATATCACGAGTGAATAAAATTTATAAATACATTATTGTAATCTTATATAAATTATTATGTATGAACAGACTGTCGAGATAGATGGAAGTCTCCATCTTTTATAAATTGTTATGTATGTACAGATTACTGGTACAGGAATTACTTGAATTGCGCTACAAAGAAAGAAAATGGATTTATAAGAGCCAATTAAAATGGCTTTTATGTATATATTCATTAGTCTTTTTTAACTAAATTAATTATGCATCGTGATTTCTCAATAACAAAACAACAACAAAACCGGCAGGTCTCTCTTCACTGCGTGACAATAATGTAGTGTCAGACAAATCTTGTTATGAAATGAGCATTTTAATTATATTAAAAGCCGAAAGATACTATTATAAATATTTAATTTAGTCTGTACAACACATTAGTGTGTTCTTTTTAGGGTATATCTAATACTGTTGGGTTACATTAATATCTTAACACACTAAAAATATTGTAAAAAACTGAGAGCATCGATATAAGACAAACTATTATTCTTAGGGTATTTTCAATAGACATGTTAGTTTCTATAGGTGTAAGAGCCATAACTAATTATCCTGCTTACGTGTCTTTAACTGTACTTAGACACTTGATTTCCAATTTAACCTGTAAATTCATTCTGTGGCATTGCGAGAAAGAATTAAAATTTAAATGTTGTTCAGTTTATTTCTATTTTAGTGTCTTAAAGATGAATGAGATCAAACTTATTAAAACTCAAATACACAGCAGAAGGTTTTAAAGATTACTTATCTATTGTTCTAAACAAGTGAGCTGAGTTGTGACAACCTTCTTAACTTTTGATTAGTTTATTGTTAAGCGCAAAGCTACACAATGGACTATCTGTGCTGTGCCTACTGCGGGTATCGAAGCATGGTTGTAAGCGTTATAAGCCGTCAGACTTATCGATGAGCCATTAGGGGGCCCTACCAAGATATTATTTTATTCTCCGACTAGACCTCCTGCGGCTACCTACCTTACCAAAACAGTTAGAGCAGGCTTAGAGCAGGCTCAAAGCTGACAAAGAAATCTCGTAAAAGTGGAACAAAAGTTTTGTCAGAAGGCGGAG